ATTTTTTCTATTTTTATTAGAGACGGGGTCTCACTCTTGCTCAGGCTGGTCTCGAACTCCTGAACTCAAGTAATCCTCCCACCATGGCCCCCCAGAGTGCTAGGATTACAAGTGTGGCCTGGCCTTTCAGCATTTTTTGTTGTATTATTTATCTCTGTGTTTGTTTAGCTGTCTCCTCCTCTGGCAGGGCAGGGACTATGTCTGTCTTACTCACTGCTGTATTTGCACATTAACTTAGAGGGGTGTCTGGCTTAGTAGATACTCAATAAATATTTGTTCAATGAATTGTTCTTTGCAGTATGGATTGAAGCCTGTATCGATTTGAGGCTGTGATGCTTCAATAGAAAACCAAAATGATTTCCCTGTTGATTTGTTCTTCTGTGATCCGTCAGGCATCACTGTTCTGCATCATCAGGTTAACAATGTGTGCCTTACAGGCTGCGGGCCTCCCGGGTGCTTCTTGTCGGCATGAAAGGACTTGGGGCTGAAATTGCCAAGAATCTCATCCTGGCAGGAGTGAAAGGACTGACCATGCTGGATCACGAACAGGTGCGATGTTATCACCTCATCTCTCCCCTGCCCCAGCTGCCCTCTTCAGTATGAACACTGGCAGACTGTGTGAGTGCCTACTTGTGCCATCAGGGCTGTGAAAGGAGGGCTAGCATGAATGGAGCTATAGCCTTTGGAGATTGAAGGTGCTGGTGCTGGTTTTGAATTCCAGCTCCACTGCATCTAGCTGGATGACCAGTGGAGACTCACATCACCTCATTGAGCTTGGCTGTCTGTAAAACGGAGTTAATAACATCTCCCTTGGTGGGTACTTGTGAGGAGTAGAGAAGTGGTTTTCCATTTGTGTCTAAAAATTACCTGATTAACTAATTGAAGATGCAGAGTTGCCCGGGGGGCTTTGTTAGGGTGTAGCCTTCATCCCCAGTGATTCTGATTTAGGTCTGAGGTGAGGCTCAGGAATGTGTACATTGAAAAGATGTGTATGGTCCACAGACATTATTTTGAAAAACGGTTTAGAGAGAATGTGTGTGGACTGCATAGCATCGTGCTTGTACATAACAAGCATCTAATAATACTAATTATCTGACATAGTGCTATTTGATTAATAATATAATAGAAGCATCCAATTCCAACATAGCTTTCTTTGACTGCCTCATGGTCAAGGTGAAAATAAGTGCTTTTGCTACATCCTTATGCCTCAGTGACATTTTAGTTTTCTTTTATAAAAAATTTCAAGTGTATATAAAATTAGAGAGAATAATATTAATACTTGATACCCATCTACCTGGCTTTTCCAGATACTGATATTTTGTTGAATTTTTTAATCTCCTTCCATATTTTTTTTTTTGGACATTTTAAAGCAAATTCCAGAAATCGTGGATTTTCCAGAGTAAAATACTTCAAAGATTGTGATGTCACATTATATTATTTGTATCTTTCCTTTTAGGCAGTGAACAAGGTTCCTGTCATGAGACTAACTAACTAGCACATGGTATAAAGTATAGGCTCTGTGGATAAAGGTGAATGTTAATGAAAGTTTTTTTTTTTTTTTT